TATACATATACATACATGCATACATCTGCCTAGGGTCTTTGTACTGTACGCGAAAGGGCAAACGGGCAATTGGCTTTGGATGCATCACAAAACTGCAGGGCCATGGTACAAGCAGCTGAGACCCTGGTACTCAGGCAGGCGGCCAGCGCGCAGCCCTAAACCAAATCTCAGCACTAGTAGCACTGATGGTCGGAGTAGTAGTAGCAATAGTAGCCGTAGTAGTCGCCGTAGTAGTAGTAGTAGTAGTAGTAGTAGTAGCAGCAGCAGCAGCAGCAGCAGCCTCAAAATCGGGTTGCCACTGAGTTTTCTGAGAGCTTTGGGATCTGGAGCCTAGACCTGGAAGCTCCCTGCCGGATTCCCTACTTCGCCGACGGATGGAGGTGTCAAGGGTAGGCTGCCTAAATTTCGATAAGTATGAGAGTGCAGAAACTCCAATATCCCTGAATGGAAGGCGCCAGGGTCACTCGTTCATGATCCCGACTTCACTCTCATGATATGCCGAAATCAAAGGCTGAAAGGGCTAAAGGGTGCTGTACTTGCAACAGGCCCACCATCCGGTGCATATGCAAAACCTTGAAACCCGTATTAATCTCATATGCAACTCTATAGCACGCAATCCCAAACCAGATACAGCATATTTTTGTATATATAGAAACACAATATGCAACGTTGGACAGCTCAGGATCAAGTGCATCATGGCCAGCCGCGAGGGGCCTAAGGCGCTGCCATGGAAGGAGCTTGGAGTGTGCCAGGGAAGCAGACAGTCGCCCAAAGCTCAGGTTTGCTCTGGAAATTTAGGGTTCTGTATTTATCTACATCTATCTTCGGGTGGGGGGTTCGGGGTTTGTCTTAGGATGTAGACGTAGAATTTCAGGGAGTGGGTTAGAGCTTTTCAGGGCTTTGTGTGGGGGTTTAGAGTTGGCGACTTCGGCTTCGGAAGGGCTTCGGAGGTAGTTCAGGAGCCCATCAGGAGAAGGCACTGGGGCTTGGAACCCTTTGGAACTTCGATCCCTAATCCCAAAACCCTGAACCCTCAACAACAAGGATCCTTCGGAGGGGCTCTAGTTTGGAACAATCTACGAGGAAGGGGGTGCGGGGCGGGGGAGGTTGGAGACTAGGTGCTGGCAGAGGTACTTGAGAAGTTCAAGGTGGTTTAGGTTCAGGGCTTAGGTTTTAGGGGTTTAGTGTTTAGGGTTTCAAAAGGGTTGAAACCCTCTAGTTTGGCGCTTAGGGCCCCAGAGGACTCTTTTGTATCTTGTGAAGGAGTTTAACGTAAGTCACCACAAGAGGGAAACGTATTATTTCGTAGTCCAGATACAGGTCCTGAGCCAGGGCCATTTACCAGCTCTTTGCTTCGACAGACCATGCCCCATGTCTGCTCTGGCACCAATTTGGAAAGGAGATGCAGAAGAAGAACAACAACAAAATAATTGAGGAAAACAGCAACGGTGGAGAAGAAAGCGCCACTGAGAACAGCTCGAGTAACAACATGAAGAGGAACACAAGCGTAAGCCCAGAAGAGCACCGGCGGCACATCCAGGCAGTTCGTGATTGAGTCCACGGGCTTGTTCGTGGAGTACGAGAAGGCCTTCGGAGACCAGGGGTTTCAGAAAGATCCCGAAATCGTATGGAGCCCCGAGGTCAGGGGCTCCTGTGAAAGGAACCTCTGATTTCGGCAAAACCCCGAGGTCGGCTTAGATCAAGACAGCACGCAGCAAGCCTCAGCGTCGCATGTTCTGCTCTCACGCTGCTGCCGAGGCGTTGGGCCACATTGAGGCAGGCGCAGAAAAGGTGATCATCTCCGCCCCAGGCAAGGGCAATTTGAAGACCCTGGCCTCTCGGTGCAGACTTTTCAGATCTTTTCAACACATGCGGCTTTACGAGAGAAGAACACTTTGCTAAGTAAGTGGCTTATAAAGTCAACGAGGTCTGCGGCGTCAACCACACCGAGTACGACAAGGCCGCCCGTGCGTTTTTTGATTTGCTGTCAATCAGTGCTATCTAGGACCCTGGCGAATCGATTGGTTTATAATCGCTCTAGCTCGTGGGCATTGGAAGGCCAACCACCATGTGGTGAGCAACGCCTCCTGCACCACGAACTGCCTTGCCCCGATCTGCCATGTGCTCCTCAAGGAGGGTGTCGGCATCGAGAAGGGTCTCATGACCACCATCCATGCCTACACCGCCACACAAAAGACGGTGGATGGCGTGTCTGCCAAGGACTGGCGAGGAGGTCGTGCAGCCGCATGCAACATCATTCCTTCTGCGACGGGGGCTGCAAAGGCCGTGGGTGAGGTGCTGCCCAGCACAAAGGGCAAGTTGACCGGCATGGCATTCCGAGTGCCAACTCCGGATGTCTCAGTGGTGGACCTCACTTTCACGGCAGAGAAGGACACGTCCATCCAGGAGACTCGGGTAGCAACGAGCGGTCGGCGCAGACTCTCACTAGGTAAACGCCAGGTGCAGAAAAGGCAGTTGACCAAGTTCTTGTTGCAATCTTGATGATGCAGGAGATCGACTCGCTGTTGAAGGCAGCCTCTGGTAGCTACATGAAAGGTGTTCTCTCCTACACCGACGAGGAGCTGGTGTCCATGGATTTCGTTCACAACGTCAACTCCTCCATCTACGACTCCAAGGCCACTCTGCAGAACAACCTGCCGGGCGAGAAGCGATTCTTCAAGGTCGTGTCCTGGTACGACAACGAGTGGGGTTATTCCAACCGAGTTGTCGACCTGCTGATGCACATGATTGCAGCTTGAGTTTTGGGGTGCTCACGGATGAAGCAATGTGAGCACGCCAGTGAGACACGCACACTTGTGCCTTGCAATTCCTTTTGTAACATGTGTGCTGTCAAGCCATTTTCACCGCCACCCGGCTGAGTCGAACTCTTGCGCCGCGGTGTGGTCCAAAAGCCCTTGTCCAAATGTTTTTGCCCTATCCTTCTCGCAGGGGGAGGCAGGTGCTGCTGCAACATAATAATGAGAAGAAGAATAATATTAATACTCATAATAGTAAGAAAAAATAATAATATTAATTAGTATGCTCACTGCAGTGTTTCAGGCAGAGACCTGCGTCTCGTCGTACTCTGCTGTTTTTTATGTTCCTGGCTTCGAGGCTTTCGTACCACTTCGAAGACGATCGGAAACACTGCTTTGAGGTTTTGTTCAGGATGCTGTGTAGGGCGTCCTGGCTTCACGGACTTCAGCTGGTGGAGCTGCTCCCTTTGGAGCCTCACACAATGTTCGTTTGATCCTTGCTTCTAACTTCGCTATTCTATGCGCATGCAGCCTTTGAGCAAGCGGTGCCTGAGGGGCTGGCTGTTTTGGCATTTGGTACCCAGGCGCCCGTGCTGCCCTTCGCGAGCCGTAATACACCCGCCCGTGATGTTCGGTTCAGAATGAGGAAAGATGGCTTTCAGGAGCGTGATTCCGAAAGTCCGACTGTATGGCCCGACAGCTTGAGACGCACTGCAGATGTCAAGTAGCTCCTGAACAGCGAACTCATGGAATTCCGGTAGTTTCCGAAAAGACCGTGGTATAGACTCCACTTGACGAGAAGCAAGAGAAAACGGAATTCCATTTGATCAATCTTTAACCCGCTTGTGCCCAGGTGGGAGTTTACTTGACCTCCACAGTGTGGCTTCTGTGCGGTGGTGCCTACCGAAGGCTGGCCAAGATGGTTGGTGTCCGGGCAGATTCTCTCATTCCAAAAAGCAACAGCGTGTGCAGTCGCCGAGCTCTCAATCCCAAGGCAGCTCGACCTTCAAACAAAAGTGCAGAGTTTTCGAACACGGACACTGTTGTTTGCTTTCCTCCAGCACCCCTATGCAGGTGAGTTGATCGAGAATCATCCGAGCGCAGGTCCTTGCAGATTGCGCATCTGCTAACCGTTATTGACAGGTACTTGCGACAGACGGTCGAGAAGTCCGTTCTTCGACCGGCGCTGCTACTGAGCCTGAACAGGTTAGGCTTTTGGGTGTAGGATGTGTGTTCAACAAGTCGCTCGGGTTCCTTACGGCTGAAGCCATTTAGGACTTAGGATGTGATCCGTTGAATCGTAGGCGCCACGGCATGTGCAATTACATTTTTGCAATGGTGTAAGAGGCTCTGTGTCGATTGCAGCGTTTTGAACCACACTGATGCAGACAGTCCTCCTAGTCTTTCAACATGTTCGTTCGAAAAGGCCTTGGGGTCAGCTAGCCAGAGCATTCCAGCAGCGCGAAGCACAGAAACTAGCGCGGAAGCCGTAGATGGTATATGCTAGGACCGTACCAGGGATGAGACCTTATCAGAAGCGATGTCATATTTTCTCCTGCCGTGGTTTCAGCGACGAAGCCTGAGCCTTTGAGAGCTGAGGCTTTCGGGTCTCCTCTATGGCCTTGCCGTCGGGGGACCCGTTCTGCAAGAATTCCTGTCAAGGCATCAGGCAAAAGGATGCATGGGATTTTCTGACTGACAAAGACAAGGAGAAGTATGTGTGTGTATATATATATGTAGATGTACATTTAGATTTTTCTATAGAGCCATATGTACTGTATTTGTTAGTTATACCTTACATTACATACATACATACATACATACGTATGTACGTACGTACGTACGTACGTACATACGTACATACATACATACATACATACATACATAGATGTATGTATGTATGTATTTATGTATGTATGTATGTATGTATGTATGTATGTATGTGTCTGTATATATATATATATACATATATACAGACAACCATCTGTACATTCATGTATGCATGATTGCAGTAGGAACTGCTTCGGGTGACACTGCCAGAAATCGCCCATTAATCTGGAGGTTCTATGCTTCTTGTACAGCATGACTGCCTGGCCCTGAGTGCGTTGAAGCTGCTCTAAACCTGAATATGAATAGGGGGTTCGAGGTGTGAAGCCTCGCAGTAGGTCGAGTACCTCTACTGTGCCGAGAAAAAAGGCAAAGAGGAAGAAGCAGACGATGGTCGTGAGATGATGGTGATGATGATGATGACGAGGACGGTCCTGGAAATCATAATGCCCTCGTTACATGCTGCGCAATCGGTGTGAACTCCTGAACCCTGAAGTCGCTCAGTCCTGCTCCGAGGTGTTACCCTTTGCCATTGGCTATGCGCTGGGCTGCGGAGGTGCTTTAGCTGCCCCTGTGGCTGCATGTTTTGCTGGTTTTTACCCGGCCAATGTGTGACTCGTAATTCGCGACTTCGTGAAGGCAACGTTGTCACAAGTCACCCCGCCAACTTTGGTTTGGATTTCACGTCTTGGGGCTGCTATTGGGCGAGTGGCAGGTCTTGTATCGTTGTGATGATTCTCGTTTCAAGCTGCAGGGCTTGTCGGCTCATCGGGAGGGGCTACTTGCCAGATATCCCGTACTTTCCTTCATCGCATGGCAGACTTCAGGTTATGTTGTCCGGTAATGCAAACAGTTGATCAACACCTCCCTTTGTTCAAAGCACCTTAAAAAGCGGATGCCTACCAGTGCCAAAAGGCAGGACGCGGATTGTTAAACAGTGTCTGTATTGCGCTTCTTTGCCGCTCTGCTTGAAACCTGAACAGCGGGCTATAGCCCTGCCATTGCAGACCTCGGAAGCCCTAACCCGAAACCTGGCCCTAGTGGCCTCGCACAAGAGGAGGCAAGGCCCCAAACCTCAAGCCCTGAATCCCCAGAGCCTGGAACCTTCATAGTTCACCCAATTTTAGTTCATGAGCCTGGGCTTCAGTACTGCCTGCCACCAGGCCCAGGGAGCTTGATCTTCTTTATCAGAAATTATAGGGCCGGGGGTTTGAGGGTTACAGCTTTAAGGGTTTTTTGTTTTTAGTTTGGGGGGGGGGGGGGACTTGGGCTTTCCCGGCTTCCGGCCTGTCGAGCTGTACAGCCGAAGCTGCAGTGCGAACTCTGCTGCCATCTCGTTATTCTTACCTTCCGTAGTAATTAACTAGTATTATTGCTGGCCTCTATATAGAACTATTACCGAGGTTAGCTTGCTTTGGGGCGTGCTGGCCTTCGGCGAGGTCCCGTCCTGCAAAGGGATAAATGGTGCTAGTTCCTTGCTTAGTTTGCATGGGCCCTGCGGCAAGAAGGCCATTTTGGCCGGAGTATGTTGGCCTACGAACCTAGACAGCTGAGTAACCCAAAGAAGCCGACATTGTCGCCCTAAGCCCCAAAAAGCCCCAAAGACGATCCAAAGCGCAGAGGCGGCCAGCATGCACAACCGCCGGTGCATCCTGCCCCTCGGCATCCTTTGGCCTCGGTGCCACAACTCGAAGGTCTCAGATTTCCTAACAATGACTTGCTTGGTGAACTACGCCCTAAGCCATCTTAGGGAGCCTCATATTTCTTTCAAGAGTATTTCTTAGTCAAGGTATCTTGGAAGATGTGCGTTCTCGGGGCAGCATCAGATATGGTGGGTACTGTAGGATGCGCTGTGAGAGCTTGCGGGTGGACGGTGAGATGTTGAGCCTGTAGATGCGATGGATTTGGATCGTGTGAGTTGCGGAAATCGATTCCGACTGGCGTGGCTTCGGCCTTGCCATTTTCATAGGCCAACAGTTTTGTGTGCAAATGCATGGCAGACAGAGCTCAGGTGCTCCTTCTGCGGGGTCTTTACGGGAATCGTCCTTTTGGGCGCTGCCGCCTAGGAAGACTGCCGTCGAGGCTCTGGAAATATGGCAGTTGTCGTGAGCCGCGTACTTGCTGTGCAAAACGAGGATAATTATGATCCAAGTTGCCCTCTAGCTGTACCTTCTAGTCAGACGAGTCGGAGGTCATGCAAATACAGCCCGGTTTTGGACTGCTTCCTCCCTTGCCTGCAGGCCTCGTCGGGTCATTGAGACCGCGGGTCGTGCGCCTGCACTCCTGCTGTCTAGTCTGGGGACTTCCCGGCCCGAAGACCTTGCCATCTGGGCAGAGGAAGACCTGATTCCGCAAATCCTACACACCCGCGCATCGAGATTCCCAGAAGAGCCAAAGTCCGGCCCAAAGTCCCTGGAATGGTCATCCTCTTTGGCTTTCCCAGCGATCCGAGTCAAGATTCCTTGCGAAACATCCAGCTCAGGCCCGGATTCCCTACCATGTCTGCTTTTGCATCGCAGGGAAAGTCCAAAGCTGCGGTAGTGCGAGAAGCATCTTTTAACGCTGGTGTGCTTCAGGTTTAGGTCGGCCTCGACATAGGTATGACTCCGGAACGTCAACCGGGCCTTTTGCGTGGACGTGCGAATGTGTAGGATAGTTTGTGTTCTCTGTTCACTAGACAGTCTCAACGCCTGTACAATCGGTGATGGAGAAATAAGCACCCTCCCATGTTGTTTGTTTACGGGGCAGTCAGCACTAGGAGATCACTCCAGCCGTCTCACTTTGCTTGTCTGCAGCCGCCAGCGGATGATCGTTTGCAAGGTCAGGTCGAGAAAAAGCATGTCACACTCCAGTTCCCAAGCATCTTGAAACTAGATGCGGAGGAAGAAGAAGAGTAGGAACAGGGATTTTCAGAGTCATGCCAGGAATCATCAGCAGCGGCAGCAGCAGCAACATTAACAAAGAAGTGCCTACGAGGAAGGCCAAACACTTTCTGTAACAAAGCAGGGTCGACAGTTCACGAAAATTCAAGGTCAGACAACCAGACATCAACAGTAGCAGCCACACTTAAAATTAAAATTGCGTCACTTTGCCCAATGATTCGGGCTTAGCTTCAGTGCGACCATACCTGCATCTTTTCAAGAATGGCCCCTGAAAGGTCTTGAAGTCACAGAGTGTAGTTTGCATTCGGAGGATCCTAATATACAAATCAAACCCACAGATACACCCCCCCCCTCCCCCTTGCTTGCCAAGCACCCGGGTCCTTCAAGATCCTGAGCAGCTTCTTCGTTGCTTCTGGCTCACTGTAGCTACAGTCAAAGCGGCGTTGTTTCAACGCAGACATCCTCGCATGTCTCGAAGGCTCCCTGGTGTGCATCAGTCATGACCCTGACAAGCCCTGAAACTCCGAAATCTCATGAAACTGTGGATACCACGGAAGTGAGCAAGAGCAGCAAGCTTCCAAAACGATGGCTGCTGGAAGCATTTCCGGCTGGATGCAGTTTGCACAAGGAGGAAAGCCGTGCAAGGCAGGAGCCCTGGTGCTTGCGGCGCGGTTTGGAGGCTAGGAGTTGAGGGTTTGTGCTCGATGCAGCGGCTATCGCGGAGGCATGCATTGCAGAGTGCCGCACCATGGAGGCAGAACGTGTCAAGAGCAAGTAATGACAGAGCGCGAGCTCTTTGCTTGGGTGTGGCTGAGGCCCTAAGAGACAAGCCGAATTAAAGTATGACGAAGGACGTGACCTCATTTCACCTTTTTCCGGTGCTACGATGTGCGGAGAACCTATCCGGATCACCATGTCGCTGCGGTTCCTGGTTAAAGGGTGTTTGGGTGAAGGTTCTTCCCTTAAGATCCATGTTGGTGGGTTCCGGTTCTTCGATCCTTGTCATGTGATGGTTGCAAATTCAGACGCAACGCTGCTTGCCAGCCAACGCTGCTACCTGCAAGGGCCCAGTTGCCGCTGTCACATAGATAAGCATGCATCTTCCAGCTCCAATGGCTGCCGGACCTGAAAGTTCACGCTAGCACGAGCAAAACCTGCGCAAAAACCGATTTAAGCTCTCCGGATCTGGCCAGTCGTATAGCACAGTAGCCTTCTATCTTGACCCGCGACAGACACAAGAGGGTTTTGAACAAGAACTTCTGCTACCCACCCAACCAGCCGCTGCCCAAAGGGCATGGCACATACGTATTCACAACAGTTCCCCTCGTTTTAACCGCGTGGCCAAATGTGATCAATAAGACTTCCACTTCAGAAGCCGCTTGCAGCATCTTGCAACGCGACTCGTATCCACCCTAGCCCTAGACTCAAATCTTTAAAACCCCTAAACCCTAAACCCTTTAACCCTCTCCAAAGCATCGAGAGCCGAAGCCGCCTCCCATGGCATGGCGGATGCCGCGCTGAAGCGGCTGGAGACGCTGCTGCAGACGGGCCTTGAGGAGCTCGCTAGATTGACGGCCTTAGAGTATAAAGTGCTATTGCATGTCTATATATATATATACACGCATATATATATATGTATATACATGCGCACACACACACACACATATATATATAATATATACACACACTTTTCTTACGTTTATGTACATACATATTTGCGGATACATATACATATGTAGACTATGTTAGTACATACTGTTTATTCTTAGCCTTTACTACATACTCTAATATATTGTATATGGAATTTAGTATGACGTATCTAGTATATAGTACCGACCCACCCCGCCCCCTCCCCCGTGCTTGGAAGCAATGCTCAGTGACATGGACATAGTAAGTCTCGTTAGGATCCCGTTCTAATTCCCATGATGATCCGCCTATAGCTGTCTATAACCACGTCGCTTGTCCTGCTTACTAGGTGGACCATTCAAAGTCAATAACAACGGTAGAAGCAGCCACGTTCGCCACCGGATGTTCTCGGCTCGCAAGCACAGGAGTTGTCATCGACCTTTGAGCACCTTGGTGGATCTCGGCAGGAGCGGCATTGCATGAATGAGAGGCGTAGCTCCAGATATCCAGCAATGTTGCATTCAGTAATGTGGTACGTGCAGTTGTGTTAAGAACCGATCGCTCTGATTGTGATCGCATTTCATTTTCTGTGCTTTGGCCACGCTAACATCTACTCATCTACTTCTGCCGTAGACATGCTCAGCCACTCGGGGGAAGGTTCTACTGAGGATGTTGACACGCAGAGGAAAACAAGAATGCCTTCCCTGACCCTGCCCTGTGGAATGCTGACCTTTTCCCCGTGAATCCTAGACACTAAACACCCCTTTTGAAGTTTCGGAAAACAGTTCCGGAAAAAGACGGGAACCTAATGCAGACCCGAGATAGTATGATCCATACTGTCATCATCCCTACATGCGGGCACCCGGATTTCTCGGAAGCCCCAAAGTTGGATCAAGGTCGCGCTGGCTCAATGAAGACGGCGATTTGTCAAAGCTGCTAGCGCTTCTGGGCTGAATGATGGGACGCTCTCTTATGGGAGTTGTTACGATCACGGGCTCTGGGATATCGAGCAGTCCTACTCAGTCAAAGAGACACTCCAGCGTTTCATCAACCCCTGTAAACCTTCATGTGAACCTTTCGGAAACCCTTTTGTGTTGGGAGCGCCAACAAACCAAAAGGTCGAGTGCGTAGGATGTTCGGCACTGCGCAGCCAGCGCGCCCATGTCTCGGCAACCCCAGGAAAAAAGGGTTTGGGATGTATACTTCACGGTTAGGTATTAGGTTTGTGTATGTTTGCCTCCAAGGCCATGAGATGGGTTGTTTTCCCAAACTCTAGACCCTGAACCCGGTTTGAGTTGACTATTAGTAGTAATATTCCTAGCAATGATAACAATCATAATGATGTTATTCTTACTGCAGTTGTGATCATTACGATTTAATGGCAATGATAACACTATTAGTTCAAAAAACACACGGTCTGAAAAAGCTTTGACTCTGGGAGGCCGTGGGAGTCGCCTGGGACACAGGCAGATTTGGAGGAGATCCGCCGCATCTCTGCTCAACCCATGTTAGGGTTTGGGCATAACTACCCTAAACCCTAAACCCTGAGCCCTAAACCCTAACAACGGTTTAGCACTGAAGGGTGTGGGTGGGGATTTAGGGCTTCTCGGGTTGTTTCAGAGTCGAGGCTTTTTTCGGGCGGCTTGGGGCTTTGAGGGTGGGAGTTTCTTTAGGGTTTTTTGGGGGTGAAGGCGGTTTAGGGGTTTAGGGTGTCGGGCATCTTGTGTGTTTGGGTGAGTGCTGCAGCCAGTAGTGCTGCAGATTTGCCTGGCCCTCAGTTTTCTCTCCTTTCAGGGGTACCCGGCAGTTGCAATAGGCCTGGATGCAAAACGGGTGTCGGGCGAATGTTTCGCCACGGAGTCGACCCATTCATGTTTGACTGCACTTTAGGCATCTTAGACATGGGTATGTTAATGTACTTTATCACCAGAGCGTTAGAGGTCCAGACGGCGGTGTAACCGAGCAATTACATGCTACACGCCCATGCTTGCAGGTTATGGCGACGGAGATCTGATAGACGAGATGGCCGAGGACCATGGCCTCATCAGAACTTCCGCATAAGCCCTCACGTTTCTGGTTCCCGGAAAATCCTACTTCAAGCAGTTCAAAGGCATTGACACTAGTGCTACCGCTAGGTACCATAATGGTGGTACGAATATTTACGTTACATTTGCATCTATATCCACACTGTATCTCCATATCTCTGCATGTGTTTAGCGATCACAGAGAATATAAATATACATATATATATATATGTATATGTATCTGTACATATACTCACACCTGTATGTATATCTGTTTGTCTATGTCTTGATATCTCTATATTAATATGTGTAGATCTCAAAATGTCTAGATCTCTTTATCTCATATTCACATGTCATGTCTTCATATCTATATGAAAGCATAGATCAGAGCTCCGACCTAGGTCTATATCTAAATCTACATGTATATCTATGTATAGTTCTGCACATATCTCTATCTATATGTGTGCATGTATGTATGTGTGTGTGTGTGTCCGTGTTTGTGTGCGTGTGTGTGTCTATATATATATATATATGTATGTATACATATAAGTATATACATATACATATATATATATATTTTTTCTGTGCGTGTGTGTGTGTGTGTGTATATATACACACACACATATATATATGTATATATATATGTACATACATATACACTGGGAAAGTAGAGCCAAACAGATTCCCCAAGCCCTTGTGCAGGACCTGCTCGAGGAGGCGGTACAGCGCGCGGCCAAGGCACCTTGAGCTAGGGACCGGAACCCTTGACTTATGAGAACCCTTGACGGGACTCCTTGTAAGTACCCCTTAGGGTTCAGAATTTAGGATTTCCGGTTTCGGTTTCTGCTGACCTACCAAACGACCCGGCGCCTGCGGGCATCGGAGCGCAGTTTGGTGCAGCGCGCGATCACTGCTGCATGACGCGTGTATCGTTGCCACCTCGGCAAGGTAGGAAATCTTGCATACTAAGCAGTTGCTGAGTGGGCATTTAAGTCATTCAATTATTACAACCATATGCAAAAGTCAAAGTGCGCAGAACCCTTTTGGAAACCGACTTAACTTACTGAGTCCCAAGATCCCGCCAGCACGATAGCCCACGACAGCCAGCGAGAGGCGTTTTGGCCACGGCTGGATGGCGCCGGCTCGGTTGGCGACCGGCTGGAGGCAGGAGACCAGATGCGCATGCAGGCGATAGCACCATACGAAGCCAAACTAAACCGTCAACACTCAATTTGTTGTTTAGAGCATCAGGGGACGTTTGAGAGGATACAAGTAGAGTCATGGAGCTACAGTATTCACAAGCTTTGTCACAGACTTACCAAGTCCACTGATCGATCTGGCAACATGTCCTTGCGCTGAAATTGG